GTTTAAAATTACAACAAAAGATTAGGATTCATCGATATAAGCTTGTAAAATGTGTTTTTCATTTACTGTACGACTTCTTTTTGACCAACCTGACTCCTTAATCTGACACACTTTTTCCTATTCATTTTCTACACAGAGGCAATTTCATGAGACAGTTTCTGGTATCGGCTCTTCTACTAGTGAATATTCGTGACATCATGCAAATTAATAGAGATCGCACATTTCTTGAACGCGGTCATCTTTTCGTCGCGCGAAAAATACGATCAACTGGGCTTAGCGCGGGAAAGTCTGAACAGCTCGGGCTAGGGGCGTGTTCACACCGCAAATGGGGGGGGGGGGGGGGGTGGGCGGACCGTGGATCGCCCTATCGTAGCGCGACCCACGGTCCGCCCATTGGCATTCGCCGGATCCACACCGCAGTGAGATAGCGCGGTCTATCGTAGCAGCCCCTTATTTGAGAGGTCCTGTTGCCATGACGCGTGACGTCATGAGGTCAGAGCGGTCAAGATTTCGCGCGCTATTACGAACCCGGAGTGTTAAGTTGTACCGATTCAGATTTATATCGCACCAAAAAAGAATGATTTTAAAATTCCCCGCGTGTAGAACGATGACTTCCGGCGTGCTTTCGTAGCTCGGGTTCACACCGGCAGAGATAGCGCGGTCTCGTGGACCACCCCCAAGAGGTGCTCTAGTGTTGGCTCGCCGTGGCTCGCTGTTGGGCGGACCGAAACGACGTTGTACATTCCACACCGCAGAGATAGCGCAGTCTAGCGCGCGCTATACCTCGCTATCTCTGCCGGTGTGAACAGCCTCTAGGCTATATGAGTAATCGCCGCTGGAATGCTTCCACTTAGGCTGCCACACCAGTCATTGTTTGTAATTAGCTGAACAAAATGTTGTTTGATAAAAAGAAATAACGAGTTTTGGTAGGATTTCACAATATCATAATTATTTCATAAATAATTGTTGAATATCTGAATCACAATGAGCTTTTGTTTCAAGAAGTGAAGACAGCCACAAATAAATTGAACATTATGATGGGCTGGTAATTGTAAACTACTGCGGAATATGTTGCCTAGTAACCAAAGACATGGACAGAGGAAGGAATGAAGGTCAGTTCGTTCACTGACACGCGAGGCCCTTCTCCCCCACGGGCTGAATGCCTGGGGGGGGGGGTGCAAAGGCCGGTTTCCCCCCCCCCTGGACCCGCCAATGCCAGAGTATGCAAATAAACATGGATTGCGCCCCCCCCCCCCCCCTTTGGACGAAAAATGCTCACATAAGCATGTGGTACGCTTTGTTGCGGCTGGCCGCATGCCCCCCCCCCCCCCCGGGGCAAAACGACAACAAAAATATTGATGATGTTGATAATCCTTTTTCATTTGCTTGTCATTAAATTTAGGATTAGTGCCCCCCCCCCCTCCCCCACCTTTTGGTAATTCCAGGATCCGCCCATTCTCTATTGCAACTATTTTTTATTTTATTGTGAGTTCTCTATTGTAACTATTTTTTGTATTATATTGTGAATTCCTACCCAAACTTGTTATTTATTACAACATTTTTTACAGCTAATTACGAACAATGACTGGCGTGCCAACATAAGTGCAACCATTCCTCGGCGATTACTTATATAGCCTAGCCCGAGCTGTTCAGACTTTCCCGCGCTAAGCCCAGTTGATCTGTATTTTTCGCGCGACGAAAAGATGACCGCGCTCGTGAATTGTGCGATCTTAATAATTTGCATAATGTCATGAATATTCACTAACAAAAAAGCCAGTCACAGAATCTCATTAAATGCCTCTGTGTAGAAAATGAGTAGGACAAAACTGGGTCAGATCAAAGTGTCAGGTAGGTCAGAAAGAAGTGATACAGTAAATGGAAACACCCCTTGTACAGTAGATATGCTAGATTAAAATGACCGTATTGTGGAGATAGTACTCAAATGCGATGGTAGTTGGTCATATAATGACGCCTTACCGCCCCCCTCCCCCCCCCCCCCCCGAAGAATAAAAAGGTTTATAACTGTGTGTTTTCGGTATGGGGAGATTCTTCTTGTGCAGAGTGAATAGACATCTGACTTACATGTAAATATGGTATTGATAGTTTTTCTGGTGCAAGATTGTAAGATGTTAACCTCAAAGACCATAACGGACACGTTCCCGTTCTGTCTTCTTCGCATTTGTAAATATATATATATATATACTTGACCAAGTGATTGAAGAAAACTAAAACGAGCTGAATTACTGGAAATAAAGGATGGCTTTAAATGAGAGGCTATTTCTTCAACTATCATCAACATCACCCATATTGCTCCGGTTGTCTCATTTTCGCTCGCTGGAACATTGCCAGCACAAACCACTGACCTCTACCTCCTGGACGGATCATCGCCCATTCCCATTCACTATACGTTACGTACTAAAAGGCTGTATTGTCTGACCGTTCATAAATGTTCATGTTTTTGCTTACCTCGGCAAAATGTTTGCTTTTGCTAAATGGAAAAATGACGGTGGGGGGTTGGATGAAATGGACATAATGAACCAAGCAGAAGTGATCTATGATAATTCATGCTTCTTATCCTTCGTGTGCTTGACCTATAATCTTCAAATCGCTTGGCAAACTGAGTCCAAAGTTCGACTTGTTTCACATGTGTATTATAGGCAATGACGAGCTTGCAACCTATTTTGATCAAATTACGGTGGGTGAACTTTCAAAAGTCAATTGCACATGAGGGTTCCGATGAAAGAGCTAGTGATAACCAAAGTCGGGGTGGAAGTGCTTTTCGTTTAAAAACAAAATGAATTTTAACGATTTGTTTGGGGAAAATTCCATAGGCTAACATGTAAGGCTGCTGACTCGGACGATAGGGGGCGTTGTGAAATGAGACTAAACGGAGCTATATGAACAACAACCACTACCACTACGAATGAATTTTTGATTGGAAATTTTAAATTTTTGAAGTATATCAGGACCATCGGTTTTATTGAGAATTAACAAAACAAAACTATTAGTAAATTTCAATAAACGATATCAGTAGGTAACTTGCCTGTAGTATTGAAGACGACCCCCCCAGAGGTGGTCGATAAAGTTGAGCTGCTGGTAAGTTTGCTTATAAGACCCAATAACTTGATAGGAACTGCATCGAATAATTGAAAATGGGAAAAAATCTCTTAACTATAATTTTGATGATTTTGTTGTGGTTAAAAAAATGTATTCAAAGGTGTTCTATTTGTCATGTTGTACTCATTGTACCTTATCCTTTACTTATGCATATATATATACATGTACCTTCAGTTTAAATTTGTTCATTTTTTGTAAGTGCTTCCTGTGATTTTTTGGAAAACAATCGTGTTCAATCATTACCAGAAGTAAAAACTAAATGTAAATATATTACTCAAACAACAGATCTTACTAACGCTAGCATGACATCATAATCATATTTTTATTCCTATGGACCCGCCCCATCCCTGTTGTTGAATAAAACTTCAATTTATTTTAAATTTATTTACAAAAGCTGTGAGGGATATATGAGTTTTTGTTGCTTTGTCTTTGTGATATTGCCGGGCATAACTTTACGTTCCTAAGGATACAATGTTACTGAAATTTACAACAATCACAAATAGAACTTAATCAAGAACATTTCAAGCTGTTTTTTATTAATAAAAAAAGGAGCGATATAATAAGTAGGGAATCATAATTATTTTGAATACTTACGATTCTCCAAACAAGCATGGCTCGCTGATTGACCACGATGTGGTCAGTGATGCCATAGTAACCAACACCACCACCGAGGGAAGAAGGCCCAAAGTAACCAAGGCCATTATCATCAAACTAGCAATATGGACTTGAACTGAAAGTAATTGACATGAACAATCACAGTGAACTAAAACCAGTTTTTTTTTAATTACTTTCTACGGTACTGGATGAGTCATAATCTTAAAAAAGGGAGAGAAAGGAAAAGAAAACATTATTTTCCTGTCATGTATTTATTTCTTATCCTGCAGGCTCTGTATTTATTATTACCCCATCGTTAACAGGTATTCCTGGGTCGAGAGGAAATATGTGGGCAAATCACCATGCCCAAGGATGTTAGCAGTAGCACTGAGCAAGGAACGAACATTTTGTATGAGAGTCAAGAGTTCTCACTAATATACCGCAGTGCTAGATAATGTTGTTTAGATATTCAGAAACTGATAAATAACTCATTGTTTTCAACTGATAATTATCAACATTCTCTTTAACCTTCATAATAAAGGAAATTATTATTTTGTTCTTTTTTTTCTTAACTTGTGCGAGGAGGATTAAGCAAACAGGGAGAGACAAGTTCTCACGATTACCGACGGTGTATATTCAGGTTTCCCCTTTCATTTTAACACTTTGGTCAATCAATTTCATAATTGTTTTCATTCAATTTCGTCCCGAAACTCCTTGATCTTGCACATTTTATAGTCAATTTCGTATTTGGTCATTCCTTTTTTAACTTTGTCCAATCATTTTCATCATTTCGCATCCAATTTCGTCAAATTTAAATCAACTTCGTCATCCTCGGCTGCCATGATCACACCTATGTCTTTTTCATTCTATTTCCAGTATTTTCTTAATGTTTTTCAAAATAATAACATTTTTTTTCAGTCATAATAATATCTAGCTTTATGTCCCAAAGGCAATCTTAGCAATGATTTTTAGTGAATTTTAGCAACTGATTTTTAGTGAATTTTAGCAACTTTAAAGGAAACCTGATCCCAAAGAATAAGTGTAGGTATTCGGAAAAATTAGATAAATTCCTGCCCTTTGATATGTAACAATCCTTACGAAAATGTACAAGAGATATATATATGAAGATATTCCTGGCATGACGTGATGCCTTTTAGCATGACATGGGCGCAGCCAGTTTCTTGAAAATGTGACATACCAGTTAAAGTTGTACATGTATCATGCACCAAGCTTTAGTTGGAAAGAATTTTTAAATCAATAACGAAACCTTTACTTTTCAATGAGAACTGAATAGTTGAGGAAAGGGAAAAATGAAGTTTGGGAGTCCAGCCGTAAATGGAGATATTAAGCTGTGAAGCTTATTTATTCGATCTGTAAAGACAGATAAAATAACAAAGACAGATTTAGTATATCATTCATGTTACACAAGAATGCAATATATAATCCAAATTATCTAAACAAACCAAGTAACTGTATCTATAAAGATTCATTTAAACACATTTGCTTTTGTTCTATAAACTGTCAATCGTGACCTCGTCCTTTAACTAACAAAAATCCAGAGTAACCAATGGTTACAAAACCTTATGCATTTTCTAATATGCATTACTTTCAAATACTCATACTTTCAGAGTTTCTAAAACTGACCAGACTTCCCTTTAAACAGATCACTGCCAATTTGCATGAACCAAAATAACTGTAAACATCTTTATCTTGCATCCATACACAAGCTTGATAATTCTCATCTATCTTCATAGTTTAAATACCTTCTAAAAACCTCAACAATAGATTGTCACTTTAAATGTGCTATATGACCTTCGACTGACTTTGACAGGCACCTAATTTGCATATTTATGCTCGCCTAAGAAAAACTGTCTTATAAAATGACTTCATACAATTTAACCCTGTTTGATGAATTAAACTTAAATATCTGACATGCATAAAACTTCCCAGTAATAATCTAGAGATTACACTTCAATACAAAATAAACTATCTGGCATAACTTGTAATTTACACCTGTAATTTACATCTGTAATCTACTCCTGTAATCCACACATGCACTACAGCAAGCCTTTCAAGTTACATTATTAACTCTTAAAAATGATTAAACACCTTCTTTCAATTCTCAGTCCAAATACTATGCTAGAGGTGCGAAGCTAAACCTATCAGCTAGTCAATAAATGGTGTCTTGCAACTTTTAAGCAAGCTAAATCAAATTCCACAGACCAACTTTTGTCACCCAAACAAACTGCATAAAATCCAAGATTCTAGCATGCACAAATATAAACATCCTTTATCTTTAGGACTTCTACATATATACACTGTTTACTCTATAAATGACATAAAACAATATCTGCCTAATACTGTAATTCTATTTTGACAATTATTATTTAACCTGAAAAACACATGACTAAAAGTACGTCTCATGGGCGCGGCCATTTTAGGCGCAGCCATCTTGGAATTAATGCCACACGTGCATTATGCTAATGAGTTAAATACAGTTTTTTTAGAATCTATTTTACAGTTCAACTTGAAACTATCTTATTTTCCGTTTTATCAGTTCACATTCCAGTTTATATTAATCTAAACACTCACTTCTGTGGCGGGACAAAACTTCGTCGGGAATACTTGAATGGCAACTGACGGATTAACTGGTAAATGAGTCAAACTGGACTACATTTCTGACTGTGCACTGCGTTGACTGAAGAACATGGCGACAGTGCCGAACTTAACCTATGGTAGCTTATAAGAGCAAAAAAAAGAGAAAATCTAAACCAAGCAAAAATCATCGCTCGGCGAAACAAGAACAAAATCATAACTGAGAAGATAAAAATAAATAACAGGGGAACAAATGTAACTAAATTCATTTATAAAAAGTACACTATTGCATTTGACAAATCTATTTCATTTACGAGAAACCTTCGTCCCAGAAGAGCACCAACTTATTTTTGCAATTTGCCTTCTGACAATTGTAGTACAAATGATAATAGCAGGTGAATGAAATGCTTCATCACCACACACGTCTGGGAAAGAAGCATCCATAAATTTGAATACATTTAATTGATAGACGACTTCGCATAGTACGTCACGTTATCAATAAAATGACGATGCCTATGTCGTGCTGAGAAAATGTACATTATTTTTGCTTTATACCTCTCTCATACACTTTGATGGGGAATCTTGTAGATTTATGGGTAATAATATAATACATCTCTAAGAATATTAAGTTAATGTATTTCTCGGGGTTCTGTTTCCTTTAACCCTAATAAGGCCTAATACGGCCCCTCCTTCTTTCATGTCACTGTAAATTACCGTAGTTCACAATATTTGCCTTGAGGACGAATTTCAAATGCTAACATAAACACCTCTCTGGTGAATGAGAAGAGCCTTTGTATACAGGCCTTAATACTCAGCCTTTTGTGAGCTTCTTGTTAGCTCATTCAAAGCCTATTGTATGTCCTGACATGATATTTTCGTTTCCTCAATTTTCTACCGATACCACAAGCATATTTAAAGAGAAAGGAAGGTTTATAGCTCTTTGTATATACCATTACAATGCCTGAGAAGGCAACAATTTGATAAGCACAAACCTGCATAGGGTCTGGCTACAAAATATTTATGTAAGAAGTTTTCGCATTTGCCAGGTATAATGAGGTTTATTTTTATAAAATATGCAATATAATTTATCACGTGATGTTGCAACAGGTGCTTTCTTTACAGTTTTGTTAGAAAATACGCCCCAAAAAGGCGGCAATAGAACAATAAATTTATATTTTTTAAGATTACAAGGTTTATTGGCTTATTACAGTGTGCGATGAAGAAAATATTTGTTGAATTAGCATATCTAACCTGTCTTCATTTCAAGCACCATCGTTTTTAATGGCGTTCAATTAGCAATGAAAAGGGGTCGCAGCGGTTAATTTTAGAGAACATTGTTTACAATTTATAGATCTCATAACATTCAATAAAGGTATTTATGTATCAGTATTGTTAAGTGTTGTAAGTCGTAAGTGTGAGGCTCACATGTTGCATTTCCAGTATTTTATCAGATAGTTTGACTATATGACAAAAGGTGAGATGTACTCATTAATCCCATGTCATCATGCATTATGATCGTATACCTTACGACATAATTTATGATAAGACGACAAATTGTGTCTTTTATACGTCTGAATGCTAGTTGTACATTGAAAACATTACAGCACAGTACACTACACACGACAGTTATGTCATTGTACTTAGCTACATCAAGTTATATTACTCGGTATATTTTATAAACTGCCCTTTTTCATCACAAACGATTTCCTTATTACAGCGAATTCCACCCTAAGAATAAACGTATAAATGCACATGATTGAGGGGGAAAATAATTCCATTGAATACAAATTCCTTGCTCCTTTCATCGTATGGCTGTGGGGGTGGGGGTGGGGGGGGGCACACAAACGGCTACGTATGGAACTGATTTACAAAGCCTGTCATATTTTTTATTGCGATGAAAGGAGGCATGTAAATTTTTCACATTTTGCGTGTATTCTCTAAGGGACATGACTATCCTTCAAAACTGGATTCTACATTCCCGTCTTTCGCGAGCAATATCTCCGTTGTTTTAGTTTCGTTTTCGCTTAGCTTCGAGTGATCATGATTTTGATCATAATCGTTTCTCAGTATTTTGTTCATCAGTTAAGTTATCACTTTAGTTCAGGTCACAGTTCAATATATCAGTTCATCAGTTCATTCATCAGTTCATCAGTTTAGCTCATCAATTCAGTTCATTTCACATCAGTTCAATCTACCAGTTCATCAGTTCATCAGTACTTCATTCATCAAATCATATATTAATACATCATTTTACATTAACATCATTATATTGGATCGTTGAATGAAACATAAGCATGATCATAAGAATTTAAGACATTAAATGCAATTAGCATGCAGCCTAGCCTTTGGTCTCATAGTCAGATTCGATGAATAGGGACTATTAGATTTTCGTGGACTGATACGTGTGACGTCCATTCAAGGCAGTGCATTAAAAGGACGTCGACCGTAGCAATCCCTATTGTCTTCGTGCGAATCTAAAAGTCCCTAATACCTCGTTTCCTACTAATCTCCATCGATACGTTATCTCTCTCACAATTTTCATCTGCAAATTTGGTCCTCACGATTATTGACCGTCAACATCGTTTTTTTTGCTGTTCTGTACGATCTAACATATTCGTATAATCAGAACTTTAACTTTATGAAAGTCGTCATATTTTGTCGTTTGTTCGCCTTCTCCAGTCATTAATTTGATGGTAACAGGGTTGTACCGAACAAGCGTCAGCACAATCATTTCTACTGTTTATACATCCATGATTACTGAATGAGCTTGTACATAGGCTTGTTATATAAGTGGAGGGTGGAATTAAAATATACAAAAAGAATCTCCCATTGAGTGTCTACATGTGTCATGTCTCGATCAAAGCGGCAGATCACCCAATACGTCTATGTAACGAATTCCATGTCTAGTTTTATTGTTAGTGGTCACCTATTAATGAAACGAATCATAATGAGGGTGTACAGTACCTTAAATTCAAACTCGGCTTCAGGCTTCTGTCCGATCTAAAGGTGTGAGATGCTGTTGAGGCTCTAAATCGGTAGTCTCAACTTTAGTTTTAGCTACTCCATCGTGTATATTGCTACGTTGGCACAAATCGTTGTAACATGTTGTGCGCATGCTCTATGTGTAAAATCCAGGGCTTACGTTCGACCGGACCTTCGCCTCTTCGGGTTACACGAACTTTTGTGAATAATCAAGCGGTACTTCCCTAACGGCCGTATTTAACGTTTGTGAAAAAACCATGCCACTGCCATGGCCACTTATAGCCAAAACATTGTGGGCAGTTTACCCGACATTTTCTGGAAACAAAACCTGCAGGAAATCTATGAAAATAATAAGCTTCTCGACCCAACACTTTTTAATACGAGATAGAATAATCAAAGAGTTCGTAAAGAGGTCAGCGATCGACACTTCCCCATTGTCTGAATTGATCAGCATATTTTCACAAAATAATGTACCAGTGTAAAAATTATATCTCAAGGACCATCTTTAAAAATCTTGTGATTATTTACATTCAGTCATAAGACCGGCAATGTCGGTCTCATGCTGGGCCTTCAGTAGTGTTATACATTGTGTCTATTCTAGACTAATTATGTTTTTAATGGTGTTTTCTACTGATATTTATTGAATTAAATGGAAATTACGAAATAATCTATCATTGATAAAAGATTTGCCATGTAGGTTAAGGCCCTTTTGGCGTAAGAAAAAAGATGAGATACGCGTTAAGGCCCTTTTGAAATTCGTAATTATCTTCATAAATAAATCGAATTTCAACAAGTGAAGTACATCATTTTAAAGAGAATGATAAAATCTACAAGGTGATGTTAATAACTCAATAACCCCCAAAATCGGGTTAAGGCCCTTTTGGCATAAGGCCGACGATATTAGGATGTACTTGTCTTTTTATTTACATTTCATACATCTATATATAGTAAGAGTGGTGTGATCGAGTCCCCCAATGAAGCCAGTATTAGTGCCTAGTTCCATGCGATGCTACTGAAGTAAGTCCATGTGCAGGCGCGGATCCAGGATTTTCCAATAGGGGGGCCGGACATTTGGAAATTGCGCAGACCGTTTTTCCAAGGTCATATTAGAAGCACCATACCGGTACAATTTTTGACATTTTCATCGGGGGGGGGGGGGGGGCTATAGCCTCCAGCCCGCGGAAGCTTTGACCTTTCATTAATTATTAGAGAAAGAAGACGATTTGTTGTACCCTTCTCGACTCGTATTCCTTGTCTGAATTCAGTTTTCCCCCTCCCGCGCAAAGCGCAGAAGCTTAACGTTTCATTAAATTATTAGAGAAATAAGACTATTCGTTGTAACTTTCTCGACTCTTAATCCTTGTTTGAATTCAATCCCCCCTCTCGCGCGAAGCGTGGAAGCTTTGACGTTTCATTCAATTATTAGAGAAAGAAGACGATTCGTTGTACCATTCTCGACTCTTAATCCTTGTCTGAATTCAGTTTCCTCCCGCCCGCGTGAAGCGCGGAAGCTTTGCCCTTTCATTAATTATTAGAGAAAGAAGTTTGTTGTACAATTCTCGACTCTTATTACTTGACTGAAGTTAGCCCCCCTCCAGCGCGAAGCACGAAAGCTTTGGCCTTTCATAGTTTAATGAAATTATTAGAGAAAAAAGATGATTCGTTGTTCCATTCTCGACTCTTAATCCTTGTCTGAATAGAGTTTCCCCCCCCCCCCTCCCGCGCGAAGCGCGGAAGCTTTGACGTTTCATTAAATTATGAGAGAAAGAAGACGATTCGTTGTACCATTCTCGACTCCTAATCCTTGTTTGAATTCCGTTCCCCCTCTCCTCTCGCGCGAAGCGTGGAAGCTTTGACCTTTCATTCAATTATTAGAGAAAGAAGACGATTCGTTGTACCATTCTCGACTCTTAATCCTTTTCTGAATTCTGAATTCAATTCCCTCCTCCTCCGCTTTGCGCGGAAGCTTAACGTTTCATTAAATTATTAGAGAAAGAAGACGATTCGTTGTATCGTTCTCGACTTGTCAGAATTTTAAAAAATGTTTCTTTGTCTGCTCCTTTTTCGTCCTATGTCCTCTTACTGCCCCTACCGCCCCTGGCTACGCGCCTGCTTAAAGGGAAAATGAAACAATCATGATTGTTATAGCACACAATTAGGTTAGTAGAAATGAAAGGGAAAAAAAATCTATTACACCAACCATGGATAAATCACGGCC